GTCAACTGTTTCTTGTTGTGCCGGCTATAATAGGGGGTAGATCAGGGTGTACAAGGGAAACACTTCATTCTTTGCTGTTTGTTTATTCCTTTTATCCTTTCTTTCAGCTACACTTGTCATTTTCTTTACCATAGTGCTTCTACATGTAAAACTGAAACGAGACATAATTTCTTCCTCTTAATCTATGATCTAAAACATAAAGCCTTGTTTTCTCCATACATAAGCAATCTTTAAACATGTATTTCCATTTTGAGTTGTATAATAATACATGACATTACTTGATTATACAAATATTTGCAGATAATTACCTTTAATCTGCCTCAGAGGCTCCCTGTAATGGCCGACTATTGCTACAGTGGACTTACAGAAAATGGGATAAACTAGGTCATACCAAGAATGGTATGAAGGGATAACTCAATCATTACTTCCTTTTAAACTAAATATCTACCTTTGGTTATGAAACACATACAAAACTATAAGAATGTAAATATATCTTAGTACGCTAATTCTCAAGAAGTGAACACGGGACAGACTGTATGTCACAGTCTCGAGGGTTGAGCTGTTCCTCTGGCTCAAAGGATGTCTCTCCGTCCATGGTTGGCCCTTGTCTGCTGAAGGCATTCCTGGAAAGAGGGTCGCAGTGGCATCTCTTGTCTTCAGGTTAGAGGGAGAGGTACTGGAGCATTTCCTAGAAACAGTACCAAAGGGACGTAACATCGACAGTACACAGATGACCATAAACGAAAGTCAGTTGACAGGAAATGCCAGGGATGTGGGGAGTGACAATTTCCATGTATTGACAGCGAGGGCAGATTGCTCCATTGAAGATAAGCTCCGATAAGATTCCATCCAGAGAGGAAAGAGCTAGGCTTCAGGAAGTTGTCGGGTCACAGGGGACAGCCCGGCACTGTGCATCCATAATGGTAATAATACAAGGTTTGGTGAGAATAGAAGAATCTCAATGCAATGTGGCTGTTTTGGAAAGACTTTCCCCAGGAGCCTCAGACATGTTGTTCTCCATCAGCATTGCTTTAGAAGGCTTGTGCTCATCTGTCAGGACCATAGACGTCTTATGTATGATTGGCATAACAAAATTAGCGCGAAGTTTTAAATGATTTAGATGAAATATTGATGGTTTGGCGCTGTAGGTGGGCCGCCCCTCACGTGCTAAGACACCTGAGGTTATCTTCCGTGAGTGGGAGCCTTCAGCATCGAGTCTATGATCAAAATACGTGACATTTTTTGTTCAGATCGCTCAGTGTCTGCAGAGGGTATCTGGGCGATCCTTCTTCTGTATGTTTACTTCGTGGATGCGCATGAGTCTGTGTACATGATGCAAGTGTGTGATTTTCGTGTACATACGAGGCGAGCTTCCCTTGGCGTGGAGGCAGTGTGGGCCCTTGAGAGGAGCTTCCCGGTGCCCGCCGTGTTTACCTCCTTTGCCAAGATTAACGAGGTTATACGTCCGCCAATAAAGCCTCCGCCAATTGGAGCTATCTAAAGCCATCGCATACAAGAACGCAAACATAGGCCATTTTTCCGATGGTGCACATACATACATACAAACTTACATGTATGAACGCAAACATGCGTGCATACATAAACGCATACATATATACATACATGATACATACATACAAACATATATACATACATACATAAAATATATACATACATACAAACATATACAAATATACATACATACAAACATACATACATAAACGCAAACAAACACGTCTGCAAACACACATTCATACATCCATATATATATATATATATATATATATATATATATATATATATATATATATATATATATATATATATATATATATATATATATATATATATATATACTTTTGTGGTGCCGGAATAAATAGAGGCATCCTACTGTAAAAACCCTTTCCATAACCGATATGATAACCCCCCCTCCCCCCCCCCCCCCCACACACACAACAGACATCCAGACATCCAGACCTCTGCAAACTGCCGTCATGTCAACACATACACATACTCCACACAACACCTATGGAGGAAATATGTAAGCATAATTCACTTTTTATGTTCTATGTTGGTAAATCACTTTTAAATTTTTGCTTTATTTTTCTTATTTTGCGTTTTGTTTTTTTTTTTTTTTTTTTGATAGTGTAGATAGCTTTTATATTGTATTTCTCTTATATCCAAATTCTGATGATGTTCGAAAGCTTAGTAAATAAATGAATGTGCAAGATTTGATTTCCTGCGGTCTTGGTCCTCCTATTATATATATATAATATATATATATATATATATATATATATACATATATACACATATATATACACACACACACACACACACACACACACCACACACACACACACACACACACACATATATATATATATATATATATATATATATATATATATATATATATACATATACACACACACACACACACACACACACACACACACACACACACACACACACACACACACACACACACACAACACACACACACACACACACACACACACACACACACACACACACACACACACACACACACACACACACACACACACACACACACACACACACACACACACACACACACACACACACACACACACACATATATATATTATATATATAACATATATATATATGTACACACACACACAGACACACACACACACACACACACATATATTATATATATATATATATATATATATATATATATATATATATATATTATTATATATGTATGTATGTATGTATGTATGTATGTGTGCTGTACACACTTGCATGTGCACGTAACGCAGTATAAATCCATATACCTGAGGCCATTCAGGTCGAGGAGGAGGACAGAAGACGCGAGAGTCGCCTCACTGTTGACGCAGCTCGTGTATAATAAGACCCTCGACGGAAATTGGTAGAGGAGTGTTTGTTTGTTTGTTCGACATCGGTAGTCCTCTAGAGCACTTAGATAAGATTAATATGGGGCAGAGACGGTGGTGGGGAGGGATGGGTGGAGGGAGGGGGGTAGGGGAGCTGGAAAGATCGAAGCGATGGAAAAAAAAGAATAAATATATAAGAGATGAAGCGACTTATTTGAAATGTTCAACGATTATTGTATTTTTCATGTTGGTGGGCTATGAAGGTGCTTGGAGAGAGTTAGTTGGGATCGATATATGGAGACATTTTACAAAACTCGGACCATTTCTTATCAGCGACTACTCGCGCCGCTTCTCTCGCCTGAAACCTTATGAGGATATAGAGTTGGGATATCAATCTCATAATCCCCGCCACTTTTCATTTCAGTTTCCATCTTGAGGGCCGACAAAGGATTAAAACTTACAGTGTTTACCTATACGTTTTTTTGTTGTTTTTCGTTTGTTAGATTTCACATGATAGCATTAACGGTAAAAAAATGCATCTGATATTATTTTACATTTTTATCATCCGCGGGCTACTTGTGACCATAAGTTTGAAATAGTTTGCCACTTGACCATCCCAAGACCCAAGTTTGACCCGCAGGCCACTTGGGACCATCCCAAGACCCAAGTTTTTTTACCAAGTTCCGCAGGCCACTTGGGACCATCCCAAGACCCAAGTTTGACCCGCAGGCCACTGGACCATCCCAAGACCCAAGTTTGAGGCCACCCCAAGACCCAAGTTTGACCCGCGGGCACTTGCGATCCCAAGACCCAAGTTTGACCGCAGGCCACTTGGGACCATCCCAAGACCCAAGTTTGACCCGCGGCCACTTGGATCCCAAGACCCAAGTTTGACCCGCAGGCCACTTGGGACCATCCCAAGACCCAAGTTTGACCGCGGGCCACTTGGACGGACCCAACTTGCGACTGTCCCAAGACCCAAGTTTGACCCGCGGGCCACTTGTGACCATCCCAAGACCCAAGTTTGACCCGCGGGCCACTTGCGACTGTCCAAGACCCAAGTTTGACCCGCAGGCCACTTGAGACCCAAGTTTGACCCGCGGGCCACTTGCGACTGTCACCATCCCAAGACCCAAGTTTGACCCGCAGGCCATGAGTTTGACATCCCTGATCTCGATCCTCCCGCGAAAAGGTATTGAGGCGTTTTATGTCCACCTCGCCACAGCTTAAGGGCACAGGATGGCTGACCAACATGAGAGCTGATCGAAGGAAGCAATGTTGCACTTCATCGCTGACCCAAGGTCCTATATAAGTACTTATATAGACCTTGCGCTGACCAAGCCAAGAGATTAGCATGAGTGGGCTCCGAGCTGTCCTTTCAGTGGGTCACCGTTGGCAGGTGGCTTCGTTTCGCTCTTTCTGGATATTGCGGGAATGGGTTCGAAGGCAGGACCGTTGCGCAAGATAAGCTTTGTCGCTTCTTTGTCGGTTCCAGTGTTAAATGCAGCGAGGATAAGTTGTCCTTCTCAGCCTTCATTCTGCACTGTACTGTTGCGCCAGGATTCATCTACCTGTCTACCTTGCCTAAGACAAACGAAGGGAACCTGGACTGACCTAAATTATGTCGACCTTTCCTAGCTCAGGTTAACCGAGCCGAACCTCACCACATAGAAATGTGTACGAAGCTGAAAATAAATCTACCTCGCAACCCTAATCAATATGTGCGCGCGCGCGCGCGCGTGTGTGTGTATACATATACATACATACACATGTATGTATATATGTATGTATGTGTAGGTATATATATGCATATAGATAGATAGATAGATAGATATAGATACATATGTATGCATGTATATATAAACAGATATATAAATATATACGTACACACACACATACATACATACATATATACACACACATATGCATATTCATATACATATATATCTACACACACACACACACACACACACACACACACACACACACACACACATATATATTATATTATATATTATATATATTATTTATATATATATATATGTATGTATGTATGTATATGTTGTGATTAATTTCCTCCCGGTCAGTTACCCGGCAACCCTCCTCGAGAGATGGTCCCTGCCCGCCTTCCCGCCAGTCGTCCGTCGTCTGTCGGGAGAAGAGGTCGCGGATGCCAGGGGTGCGCTCCCACTGGCACTGGAGGCAAGTTGGGTTATATTCTTCCATTTTTGCTGATTGTGAAAGGTTTGTAGTGAAAATGTCTGTTAAGTATGTCGTCTGAAAGACGCATTCATATATATATATATATATATATATATATATATATATATATTATATATATATATATATATATATATATATATATGTGTGTGTGTGTGTGTGTGTGTGTATACATGTATGTATATATATGTATATAAATGTGTATATATATATAATATATATATGTATATATATACACACAGTATATAAACATATATATGTGTATCTCTCTCTCTCTCTCTCTCTCTCTCTCTCTCTCTCTCTCTCTCTATATATATATATATATATATATATATATATATATATATATATATATATATATGTTTATTTGCACACAGACATACACACACACACACAAACATACACACACATACACAGATATATAAAGAGCGAGAGAGCGATATATATGTATACACACACACACACACACACACACACACACACACACACACACACACACACACACACACACACACACACACACACACACACACACACACACACGAAGTGTATGTTTCGAATATATATTCGTCAGAAATACATGTATATCTATCTATTCATTATTTATTATATATGTATGTATGTATATATATATATATATATATATATATATATATATATATAATATATACATATGTATAAAATAAAAAACACACACACACATACACATACATATATTTGTATATATAGAAGCGCACACACACACACACACACACACACACACACACACACACACACACACACACACACACACACACACACACACACACACATATATATATATATATATTATATATATTATTATATATATATACATACATGCATACGTGTGTGTATTTATATATACATATATATATAATATATAATATCTATTGTGTATACACACACATATGTGTATATGTGTATTATATATATATATATATATATATATATATATATATATATATATATATATATATGTATACTTATATATGTGTTTGTGTGCGTGTGTGTTGATAAATGGATAGATAGATCACACACTCGCACCCATTTTTTCGTAAAGAAGCCAGGAAGTCCGGCTGCAGCGTTCGCAGTGTCTGGCAGGAGTCAAAGGGAGAGCGTTATCAGCAACGTTGCCCGCTTATCTGTAGAAGGAATTGGTTAAGCATGAGTCAACGGAAGGGGGGAGATGGGGGGGGGGGTGCTAGAAGAAGTGAGAGGGGAAGGAGGAGATGAATTGAGAAGAGGGAGGAGAGGGGGAGGGAGAGAATATGGAGAGGGAAGAATATAGGCAGGTAAGGGGCAAAAGGAAGGATCACCATCAATTTGATTATTATAAACATTTTTGTTATTACCATTATCATCACCGTCATCATTATAATCGATCACTATTACCATCATTATCATCATCAATCTCTAACCCTTACCATCATCATACCACTCCCATTATCACCGTATTCAACATCATCATATCATTACCATCGTCACCATCAACATCATCACCGTATTAGATAGTGGTGTAATGTCACCATCGTGACTCTCCGAAGCGACCGATCGAATCCAAACTTTGGAGGAAACAGGGAGTAAATTAGGGGCCTTGTCCGAAACCTTGCTTCGATGAGTGACGTCTGGCGATTCAAACAAGACGTGACTAGTAGTACAAATATTGTCCTCAAATATTGAAAGTTTAGCCTTAGTGATTTAAAGTTTGTTAAATGTGTATGTCCTTCCTTTACGTTTTTTTCTTAACTTAGGAAAAGTATTGTGCGTGAGAGAGAGAGAGAGAAAAAAAAAAAACGAATTCTTGATAAGGTATTTTTATCAGGTCTCAACTCAGTAGAAATAACAATTGCAGCTGCAATGATGATGCTAGTGTGGTATAGGAACCGAAAGCTTAGAAATGAGTGTACGTTTGTATTTTCTTCAAAGGCAGGGTCATTGGTGATGAAAATATTGTTGGGGGTTAATCCAACCATTTTCTTAATCCACAACGGTTCTTTTAAATATCCTGCACTAGAAAGGGTTACCCAGAGTGACAAAAGATAAACTCATGTATAACACTGAAATCAATTTATAAATAAATAAAGAAAATTAATCAGTATTCACAAAAATAACGAGCAAACACAGTGTATTGTAGCCATCTAGAACACCATGGCCTTCAGTGGTATGTAACTATGAGGCGGTGATCGTATGCAGCACTGAAAGATGGTCAAGAAGTACACCCAAACAGGCTGTAAATAATTATTTTTTTCAGTAACACATGTGCGTTTATCTATATCACAAAACATTTCAAACCAAACAAGACATTAAGCTCGGGTCGACACGCCGCCGCGAAGCCTAGTGCACAGGAGTGGAGTGAAACCCGAAACCTTATTTGCACACTCATACCTCTTTATTCTAGAGTACAGTGGAATGAGACCAACTCTTCAGAAAACTCTTCATGTGCTGCTTCTTTTAACCCTTACGGAACGGGTTTCTGGCCAATGCGGTGGAGTCTCGACAGGAAACTCTTGTGGCTTGTTAGGCTTTCCATAAATTTAGGGATGAATTCAAAAAGAAAATTCACATGCCTTCATATTCTGGAAACTCCAAAGATCAATTCTTTGCCATGGAAATCAAACGACACTTGCCAGCCAAGGGCAGAAACAATCTCCATGACAATAGGTTCCTGGAGGCAACCCACAAGGATAGACAAGAGGCGGAAAAAAGGGACATAAATGTGGACCTTACACCCCAAACCTTGTTCGCACACTCATACCTTTCTATTGTAGAGTGCATTGGAATAATAGCTACCCTTCACAAAGCTTTTCATAAAAAAAAAACGACAATTGACGTGCTTTACCGGCGATGTATTACAAAGCATTAGATAACAAGTTTCAGTACTGGAGATGTGTTTAGTGTCGGTGATAAGGATTGATACCTTTGGGGAAGTGATTGGCACATTATCTCTGCTGTGTGAGCGGGCACTTAATTACATGTTTCGTGATTAATGAACTAGTGCTATCGCATCCACTCATTTGCCGGGCGGAGAAAAACGCAAAAGAACACTGACTTTGTAGGAGACCTCTCCTGAAGTTCGTGTGTGAGTTTGCGTTGAGTCAGCTGAGTGTGCGAATGGTTAAAAAGGGGAGCGTAGCATAGAAACAGCCTTCTTGCTTTCGAGTTTATTTCAGTCACTGGTATCTAAAACATAGAATGAATTGTAGCAGGAAGGCCAGAGTTTCTCGTTGACCTTGACCTCTTCCGCAAGCTGCACTTACTCCAGGTTTTGGCCTCACCAAGAGGGAGTGGCTTGTACCTCTCTTCCAAAAGGATTTAAAATCACTCCGAATATGATTAACAGAGGCAGGTAGACGGCTCGGCACCTGGCGTTGTTAAATCCCTAGACACAGAATTATATACACTCATACAATAATTATTGACTTTGGTCAATAAATTCAGGTAACTGCACTGCATAAGATTGTAGTGCGGTAGCATAACTATATAAATGTTACGTTATAGATGAAGTTTAAACTACCTAAATATTGAATGAACATGGTCGAGCAATTGGTCTGAGAACATTACTGGATCTGTGTGCCCTCGGATATAGTACTTACTAGCGTGTATGATGTACAAAAGAGTTAGTAGGATATATTCCTTCTTTCTTTATTGCAGAACCGAAAAGCGGTCTTTGATTCCCGAGACGGAAAAGATATCCGTTTTTTTCCTTCCTCTGAGTGAATCTCCCTCCTCCCTGCTCACCACGTCACTGCAACATGACCCTTATGGATGGACCTTTTGGGTTGCCACCTTTATGGAGTGCGTATTCTTGACTTTTTAGTAACCTGTCGACAGGTGGGTTATTGGTTTGTAGGTCCTGAACCATATTTATTATGTAAATGAAGTTTCCTTTTTAGTGTGTAAAGAACATGTCCTCCCATTCCTAACAGGACAACAATATATGGTTGATATGTTGTCGCTGGAATCAAATATGCCTCTAAATAAACCAGCTCACCTTATGTAGATGTCTTTATGTTGGCTGGAAAAAATGGACCATCTGTAGCCTCTCCCACACTTCCATCACAGCACGTTTTTCCCTCCGCCAGGTGGAAGTGTCGCCCTGGGTCCCAGAGAGAATGACTGGCAGCAGGAGCAGGTGGCAAGGACCCGATTTATCGCGTATGGCGTGGTCGCGCCCATCTCTGTCGCCGTGGGCATCGTCGGCAATCTCTTCACCATCATTCTGCTTCGCCAGCCGCAGTTCAGAGGTCAGGTTCGCGGGTGGGGTGACCCGGTGCACGGGGGCAAACCTATCCCACTTTGTTTGAATGTTTTTGGCGATCTCGTCCGCTGCCTTTATGCGTATCAGTCATACTATCTTGATGAAGGTATGGGGAAATATGTCTATACTATTGCATTAATCTACATTTCCCATTACGCCTGCGCTTCACTCCACTTCATTCCCCAGGGGTGACGTTCACCTACTTCCTGGTGCTTGCTCTGAGTGACCTGCTCTCCCTCTGCATGGTCGTGTCCATGTTAGTGCATTTCCAACATGAAAAGACGCTTGCCTTCTCCACGGCCGTGTGGTACGCACACTTCGAGGTGTTTCTGGTTAACATGCCCATGAGCGTCTCGGTGCTGGTCGTGGTGTTCATCACAGTGGACCGCTTCTACTCAGTGTGTCGCCCCACGCACTTCACAGCCATCCACACGGAACGCTGTGCTAGACTAGCCATTGCAGGCTCAGTTGCATTCTCAGTTCTGGTGTGGCTACCCACGTGTTTCCTCATGCAACCGGTGGAGTGCGTCGAGCCCAAGTGCACCCCTCCTGACAACCGGACGTGGTGGGTGGTGCACTTCAACTCGAAGCTTTTTCCTGAGGACTGGTATCGCCCGTACGCGTGGGTGAGGCAGGCCTTGCTGTCCTTCATCCCCATCATCCTTCTGGTCGTCCTCAATGCCCTCACCATGAGGGGCTTTCTGCGACTGCGGGCCAGGAGGAACGAGATGGCTAGGAGCTCCGCCAGTGGCAGTCTGCAGCTCACCGTCTCGTCAACTGCAGAGAGAAGGCACCGCAAGGAGCAGCACCTCATCTCGCTGCTGGTGGCCGTCATGATCACCTTCAGCGTGACCATGCTGCCCTCGGGGATATTCAATGCAATTCATACAGACAACCCTAAACACGAGACGACCTACGAGGTCTTCAGAGCTGTGGGAAACAACCTCGAAATCCTCAGCCATGCTATTAATTTCTACATGTACATCTTGTGCAGCAGAACCATCAGAGTGGCGCTGAAGAACATCTTTCGGCGCCGCCGGCAGGTCTCCCTCGCCGGAGCCTCAGTGTCAAGAGTGCTGATCGCGGTGCAACAGCTGGCCAAAAATAACGGGAGAGGAAAGACGCCTTCTGCGGAGCCCACAAGGACCGCAGGATATGCTGACACTGAAGAGTTAAGGGAGCAAGCAAATGAAACTTAGGCTGTTATTGCAGCCTCAGAAAGAAACCTAACACAGACAGTGTGAATGTGGGAGAATATCTTTCACTAGAAAGAGCATCATAAGCAGTGAGGCAGATGGTGCCAGGACCTCCCTAGTTCTCATCCCCTTGGATGGACCCAGTGTAGCCGGGTCCCTGTGCTCATGATGCAGAGGGCACAATGCCGGCAATCAGATCCCTCTGCTTAGCCAGAACACCCTTGCATAGCACAATGGCAGCTTTCCTCATTTCCAAAATAAACATGAATTTGTCTGTGAATGCTGTCAATACTCCTTTTTGAAAATGGTCAACATGAATAAGTAATAGTGCGAGAAACTGTGATACAAATACATTCACAAATATGGGTGCATGTGCATACATGACTATATGCACATTATCATGTTTTAAAGTAAAACATTAAACCAAACATCTAACAGCTATGGCTCTCTTCCCCCCCCCCCTCTCTCTATTTTGGTTGCAGATATCTTCAGTCAAATGATATCTGCCAACAGAGTAACGTTGTGACACAGGAAGGTAGGGTCCAACCTTGTGAATGGGGGCGGCCAGGAACAGTGTAAAGATATCAGCAGCAACACATTGTATATGTATACAATAATATATATGTGTATATATATATATATATATATATATATATATATATATATATATATATATATATATATATATTTGTGTCGTAATGGTTATTTTTCATATGCAAATTATCAAGATGTATTAGTAAAATTATTAATGATAATCTTATCAGAGAAAGTATCACAATCATAATTAGTACACATTTTTTTCAACATTTCTTTTCCACGACATGACCCATGCAACTTAATTATCATTATTAATCTCCAGTAGTGCCGCGACCACACGGGATTTAGAATTTAAAGTAAATCCCAAGAAAACCTAAATTTGACACATAATTATAATGTGAGTAGCATGACTTCGCGGTCTTAAGGCTCATGCGATGGATTGAATTCATTTCTTTACTGAGATATTAAGTGGGCATGGAAACATTCTTAACCATTAACTTTTTATTCTATTCAAAAATAATGATATACAGGTGACATACTACAATGTAAATCTTAGAAATAGATATATGAAACATAATATCCTCTACTAACTTAAATCAAGTCTACTTTACACACTCACTTTACCTAATAATCGTTACTTTGACCATAATAAACACAAACATTAGAAGGAATCGAGACAGTCACCCCCAGTCTCCTTCGCCTAATTCCTTTCCTGTATCCACGAGCCCCAAAGAATTAATACATAAAGTTTTCCAAACAAGGCAGGCATCACGGTATGTGGGGTCGCCTTATTTTCCTCCATTCCTTCTCTCTGTGCACGGGTGAAGATCAGGACGCTGTCTTAATTAACACAATTCAATACACAGGGATTCCATAAATTAATTAATTCACCTATCAAGCATCACAATGTCTGATCTCAGAGGAAACACGATTTTCGATGCCAACACTTAACATACATACCTGTGCACGGGAGGAAAGCAGGACACCGTCTGACAGGACTGTGAGATACCCTTTCTTATTGCTTTCCCTCCATTGAATTGTTAACATTTAAACAAACCAACCATTTGTAAATGATTATTATAACTTACTCTATTAAATCTAACACTTAATTGATATATATATTGATATGCCTTTTAAAAAAATAAATATACGTTAAGAAACGTTTTCATTGGGGGTCATACATCTTTACATTTAGAACCAATACATCATTTAAATGCCGAATTTAAATGTCGATAAATAATATAATATATATATATATATATATATAATATATATATATATATATAATATATATATATATATATATAAATATATATAATCAAACCAATACATCTTTAAATGCCGAATTAATATCGATATATATATATATATATAATATATATATATATATATATATATATATATATATATATTATATAATATACATCTTTTATGCCGAATTAATATCGATAAATATATATATAATATATATATATACGAATATACACACGTATATATATATATATATACTATATATATATACATACATATATATGTATATATATATGTACAAAACCTTGGAATTACGAAAACAGAATTAAGCTGAAATTCACTCCTGTAGACCTGACCAAGCAATAATAATAAATAATAATATAAATAATAAATAAATATAATAAATAATAAATATAATAATGAATAATTGAATAAACTAAAACAAAAAAATACATTTATCCTTGAACTTCAAATCTGACTATTCTGTAAAGCAGAATCCTTTACGGAACAGGATTGATCTTCTTATTCATAATTTGATGCTGCAGAAATGACCATTCTACATGCAACCTAAAACGAATCCGCATAAATCTTCGTTCATAAACACTTTATCAACGTTCATAATTACACTGCCACATAAATCTTCGTTCATAAACACGCATAAAATTACACTGACATACTATGCCCGGTGAAATGCTTTTAAAACCTTTGAGATCTTCTTTCTTCTCCGTTACTCTGCCAAGGATTGTTCTGATGTCCTGAACTGCATTAATATCACAAGGTAGGTTGCGATGAAGCTGGAAATCTGGAAGGAAAAGCGGAAAAAACACCCTTACGTTATTTTGTATAGGAAAGGAACAAAGCAGGAACATTGGAAACACACACATGCACCCACACACCACCCACCCACCCACACACACACACTAGAAAAAATAAAATAAACAATTTAAAAATACCTGTGCTTGTATGCATGTGTATGAGGCATTGATTATCATTGTTTTATCATTCTTGTCATTGGTGGCATTTGATCATTGTTACTCCTATTATCATTTTTAGAATAAGCACAAATGTTAAACTGAACACAAAAGACGAACCAACATCACAGCAAACCATAATCTAGGGACCCTGAGGTGGAAACTAACAAGGTTGACAAGAAACAAGATGTATTGCACAAAGCCAAAGCTGACAATTTTTGAGCAAAACAATGCTACTACTACTAAGCCTTTCTATGATGATCATAATCATCATTATCATTATAATGGCTTTAGGTCTTACAGTTACTATGTGTATCATTATCGTCAGCACTTTTATATTATTTTCCCTACAAATCAGAGTTTTACGTTCTTAAAGTTATATAGTTCATAATTTTACAGTTCATAAGGACCTTGCGGTAGCAGGAAATTATTCCTTCTGAACATATGCTTTATCATGAGTATCCGATGCCTTCATGAATATCATCACCATCACCATTACGAAGACATCAACATTATATTCATAATCTTAAAGTTATATCCTTATTATTACACTGTATTATGACAGTAACAGAAATTAATTATGATGTGACCGCCATTCGTAGTGCAGCGGCAACGCACACGGCCAATAACCAGGAGTTCGTATTCGTCATGCTACAAGGTTAGGACGAGGATCCACTCTGCCAAACATAAGTATGTCTCAAGAAGGTGGCATCCTTGCACCTTTCTGAGTACTGATAAGAACCCAGCTCAAGTGCATTGGTCCAAAGGAGGAATTGGGGAGCTTCAACAGGTAAATTCTTGGAGATTTTATATTTTGGATGCTTCATTTTCCTTCCGTAGGGAGCTGAAAACGGTCCATATGTTAGAGCTTGTGGAATTCTTTGTTTTCTCGTATGGTAATCAAGTTCCGTAGTGATGGTGGAATGAAAGAGTGGGTCTCCACTCTCATCGCATACAGACTGTAAGACAGAGACCATATTCTGAGGGCTTTATTATGAATTGAGAACCATGGGTTTTGCTGAAGAATATGCCTCCTATCCATTGTTAGGGCGAAGTTATTACAAATAAGTGCTTAGTAAAACAAAGTATTATTTTATAGTCTTCTCCAAGCCACTCTTCAAAATAACAAGTGCCCTCATTACCTTGAGCTTTCATATGAGGCACTCTATGTCACCTCTTGTAGGACCTCTTCTAGCAGACTTTCATGATCAGAAAAACACTTGCCTATTCACAGCCTAGTGTCTCAGGTCATCCTATAGCTTCACAAGTATGTCATACTTCCAAATAGTATTGTAGGTCATCTCAAGGTCAAGAAAACTGCCATCATGTGGAGTCTCCATGTGAAAAAAAGTTCTGCATAGTATTTTCTTTCGTCTCATAAAGATCTGCTGAAGGGGTTCAGGAACTGATTTAAGGAAAATGCCATTTTCACCGAAGTCCTCCTAGACAACTTTTGCACTTGCCTGATCTTAGCACAAGTCCTTTCATATTGGAGAAATGTCACATTACTAGGTTCTTGGTGCAGCTTTTATTTTTCTACCACGATAACTTTCATCAGAACACCGTAATTTAGGGAATGGATATTTCTGTTATGAGATGAATTTTGGATGAGATGATCAACAGCTTCCTGATTAAGATCCTTGTAAGCCCTATTTGTGGAGTTTATTTAAAGATTCCAGTTTTTTTGCAACAAATTGTCTTCTCTCCACCCCGCTGACTGAAACGGGAGTTACCTTCTCCAGATGTAATGAAAAGTGGTAATTTCAACATGTCTTCCATGACCTGCCAAGTGAAATTAGTTGAACACTAGTTGAATCAATCTGTCGAAGCGAAACGCATGAGTAGGTTCACGAATGGACAGGTGGCTTTGGAGTGTAGCTTGAGTGAAGCCATGACCATTCTACGATCAGCAATGGCGTACCAAATGTAATGAAAAGTGGTAATTTCAACATGTCTTCCATGACCTGCCAAGTGAAATTAGTTGAGCACTAGTTGAATCAATCTAGCACCTATTAGGCACTGAAGAACCGGGCTGACACTTTATCGACAATTAGGAGATAAAACAAGGAAAATGTGAGGGTATTCAAAAGTAAAATTTTGAATAACACTATAGGGAGAAAGGGAGATAGAGAGCGAGAGAGAGAGAGAGAGAGAGAGAGAGAGAGAGAAGAGAGAGAGAGAGAAGAGATAGAGAGAGAGAGAAAGAGATTAATTTTTCGTTAAAGAATCGCTCAGAATGCAGAAAATCACATCCTACACTGTCATTTTATCAGAGCTACGCCCCTGACCAGTACTACAGAAACTGGCACTTCAGAAATCCCTTCAGATCTGAAGGATCATGTGTGGGAATAGGGATTTGTAGAAAAGGTGTGAATGAGAATGAATATCTTCACAATGCACAGGATGTATTTGACCGGTTTTCATTATGTCTTCGTCAATAATACATATATTTCTGACGAAGATATACTCGAAGCCAATCAGATATGTCTCATTCTCATGCATATCTATTCTGAATTTGCCACAATAAACACCGTTCAACCGGGAATGGGATTATGTATTTGGCTGCACTGCCTGGATCACTGTACCTGGTCCAGCTGTGCAAACTTGTAATCAGGAGTCCAGCAATCCTCATCATGATCAAAGTCCGGGAGAACGAGACTGCTCTAATCAC